ACTGCAAAATGCAAAGTGTTGACACAAGCATTTATATATAGCAGAGTCTTGGCAAAGTTAGAATTTCAACTAGAAAGAAAAATACTTATCTTAGTTTAGGAAGCCGTTTTCACTAATGGAGTTGAACAAATATTAATAGTTGAAAACTTGGCAATTTCTTTGCAAACATGGCCGCGTTCGTGCAAATATGATGATATGAAATGAATATATGATTACAATTTAATTAAGCGTTGCGCTCTGGAAACTAATTTAGAGACTTGCCCAAACTTGTACCACAGTTCAGCGCAACAAATGCAATCACTTCCCACCGGTACCTGTTTCAAAGCCGCTTAATCCGGTAAAAAGAGGAGTATCTTCAAATATTTTGATTATCCTCTCTTGCGCTGCAGTGGGTTCTTTAGGTGGAGGACCACCTCCAGTTTTTCGCATCTGCCTATTCACATCGGCAAACGTTTTCTTAGCGGAGCTAGTCAGGTTCTTCCACTTCTCTTTAATTTCGCTTGTTGTGCGGTTTGCCACCCCTATCGCGTTTATTTCTTTTGTGATATTCTCCCAAATTTTATTTTTTTTCTGATTCGTTACCGCATTGGTTAGTTTTGACTGGATTAGTCCTAAATTTTCTTGCACTCTGCTGGTCAAAGTGTCTATTTCGGTCACCGTAAAGTTGAGCTTTCTTCTTTTCTTTTGTCTCCCTCCTTCAACGTCCGCCATTTTGCAAGAATTCGCGCGCTTTTTAACCTAAGGTTAACTGCCTTAACCCTGGGTTAGTTAACCGCAACTTTCACACTGCTTTGAACAACGGAATTTTAACCTGGGGTTAGCTAACCTTGGGTTAAGAATTTTAACCCAGGTTTAACGCTAACCCTGGGTTAAATTTAACCCGCTTTTGAACAACCGGCCCCAGAAGTTTACTCTAATACTTTAAATACTGAGGAGAAGCTATATATGTATTATTTTATTTCCGAGCCGGCGTGAGCGCCGTGCGAGGGTACTAATTCCGCCCGCAGATTAGGAATTACACCCGGGACCTCGGAAAACATAGCGAAATCGAAAGTTGCGCATATGTCATAGACGTTCAATGGTCATGGTAGTTGTACGCATGCGCGAAATTTGAACGAAGAAAGAACGGTCGTCTACATTTTAACCGTCATTTTGCAAACTATTTTTTAAAAATATAAAATGAAATCATGGAGTCAAATATTAAAACAATAATAAAAGATTTAAAGATCATCACAGCACAGAAACAGTTGGTGAAATAGGAACGACTCGTTGTTTATAATCTTTGAAGTGGTAGGTGTCTATATTTTGCTTATTCAGTGTTTGCTGTAAGAATGCATTGTTATTTTGACAAGTACGAGCTTGCTATGTCGTTTTACAAGGAGCTAACCGACCGTTTAAGGCTTTACATCATCGCTTAAACTTTAAAAAAAGTTCTGAAAAGTGTACTTCAGAGTTTTGATAAAACAAATATCACTTTGCAGCTTATATAGTCGCTAAAATTGAATAAAATAAATAATCGAAAAACAGCATTCGAAGTTTAGTGCTTGTATGGTTATTATTATTATTTGTGCTGTTTTGATGTTTTGAAGGTTTAGCTATAGAAAAGTTTAACACTAACTTAAACTGCAACGTAATGCAGCAGGCAAACAGGTAATTTCTGTTCACCTTTACGACTGTCTTTGTTTCCGAAAGATTTGCACGAGTTATCAGGGACGGCGAAACATAATATATCTTGGGGCGCTAATTTCACGAGGCGCCACCATGGTTGGCGCCGAGCGAAATTTTTTTGGAATTTCAATGCTCTAGATTTTCGGAAATGGCCATTTCAGAGTGTTACTTGCCACTTTCAACGTAGTTTTTCATGGGCAAACACAAACTGAAAACGGCACAGCGCGTGTAGGGATATCTTCTACATTTGAAAAATAATCTCTCAAATTCTGAAAATAATTTCCAAACAAAATGGCGGTCCGAAAATAATAACAATATACAACCACGAATATTCTGCTGTTAAAGACAACTATGAAAGATCAAAGAAAGTCAATTTAGATTCACTTGATCCGTATGACAATATAGAATATCTTATTACTCCGGCGTCAGCGACGGAGTTGAAAATTCGCCCCGGTTTTGTTTTGTTTTTGTTTTTTTTATTTTTCGTCGTCGCAAGTCTGTAATGGCGCGAAATATACTAGTATTTAAAATGTGTATGTGACCGTATTTATCTACGTCCCAGTCTTATCTCTCAAGAGTTGTGGTGCACAGCTTTGGCTAATTTTCCAATGCGCGATTCGATTTCGCTCGTATGATACGGCAATTCCTCCAAGAGGAACTAATAAACCGTTCTTTTCATGCTGTTCGATTAAGTTTAGATTGAATTGGGGTAAGAATATATTCAATACATGTAGACCCGGCCTATTTTAATAATATCGCTGCTATTTCGCCGTTTAACAAGATCATGTATGTGGTCGTGTATGGGCGCGTTGACACGTCGCGTAGTTTGCACAGGATCGAAGATTTAATACAATTATATAAGCGCGAATTCCAAAGGCAAAGTGTAAGACGAAGCGAATGTATCATGCGGTTTATTTACATTTTTGAACAATTGAACTTCTATACTGCGATGTGCTTCTGAATTTCGCGATCGAACATTTAGGTTCGCAAGGCATCTAAATGCAAATAAATATGTATGCGAAACAATAGGCGAACTGTATTGTTTATGTTCAGAAGCTCTATATTGAAGACTGGCACGTGCGCCGGAGTTAACGCCAGAACGGCGTCTTGTTAGCATTTAATACGCCGGCGAGCATTAATTTGACGACTTCGTGGTAACTTAGTTTGTATATTTGCTCTCCCATTCTGGCTTTGTTCAAGAATTTTTTTTGCTTCTGGGAGGGCTTTAGCCCCCCTAGCTCCCCCCTGTTCCGCCGCCCCTGCGAGTTATTTCATATTAGCGTAGAAAGTTAGGTCTGGGTAGCGCACGAAATATTTTGCTTCGTTTAAAATGGCGAAGGGATTTCTAGTTAGAAAATTAGAAAATTATTACAAAATAAATCAATTATGAAATTATTATGTTTTTTTAGTTTCATTTTTTTGTGTTTTTAAGAAAATGCCAACTTATACTTGTCATGTTCTTTCCCATGTCATATTTCCAGGTTAAATATAGACATCTGACTTTTCCTTCCCTGGCACAAATAGCAACACTTAGAAACATTAACAGTTTATTCACTGAAAACTATTGTCAGGATATATTATTTTAGTAAAGGATGCAGGAACTTAGTAAACATGTATATGATAAATCAATTTTGGAATTTACATGAATGAAATATTAGGTCTATAAAACAACTTCAAGTGTTTCCACTAGGGTTCACATCACTGGAAACCCCACCAAATAGAAAATGCGATTTGCCTAGCTTCACAAAAGTGAATCCCCTTTATTATGAATGCTTTCCGTGGATGTGGACATTTGTTTCACATTGAATGTGTTCTGCCTATCATTAGCCATTGCCCAGTTTGTCAAGCAACGTTTTTGGCAAAAGTTGAAGCTCTTGGCAAGACAGCAAACAACGCTGTGTTTTTTCCTGCAAATATCAGCGTTGACAAAGCTAACACAGCGAGAAAGAGAGTGATCCTGAAGATGACGACGACTACGATGATGATACAGAAAACAAACATAATTAAACAACAGTAAATAATTTCTTGGAGAAAATAGCCCCTTGGGCTTTAGTTTCTTCTTTCAAAAAGCCAACCGGCTATGAGTGATGTGATATTTAATAATATACTACACATGTAATTCTGACGTGTTTCGACGAGAAAGATATTACTCTGTACCACAGAATAGGATCTTAACTACACTGTAGTCAGTCTACTGAAATGAAATGCGTTTAAAGTATAAAATAGAAAAAAGTAATAGAAAAAGTATTTCATATGCGTTTTAAAGACAGGCTACTAGGGTGTCTGCTATTTTACGCGATTTTACGCGCGTTGACTGACGGTTATTCAAACATAAAACTTTTGCGTTGTGGATCGAATTTAAAAATCCCCACGAGGAAATTAAAGAAAAAGCCACGCTTTGTCACAATTTGTTAGGTTTGAAGTGAAAAGCTTAATATCGAATGGCACGGAGGGCTTAGAACATGGTGTTATTTTCCCACTCCTTTTGTTTAAATATTTTGAATTTCGCGCAGTCTGATTGGTCAAGGACGAAAAATCTAAACAAACACACTGAATGGCTAACATGATTCACCCTTGTTCCGTAGTCCGTGGTCCGTAGTCCGTAGTCCGTAGTCCGTAGTCCGTAGTCCGTAGTCCGTGGTCAGTGGTCTGTGGTCCGTGGTCCGTAGTCCGTAGTCCGGGGTCCGTGTTTTCCACCAAGCCGCAAAATAATGTATACATTCATTAGTTGACACTTTATTGATTGACTAATTGCAACAAGAAACGTTTGTCTTATTTCATGCTGATAAGTGATACAATAGAAATTACGAAGAAATAAAAAAAGATATATTTTAAAAATTAAACTATTAGTGCAAACGAATTAAACATCCTATTCTACGATACCATGCCAAAATATTACCCGCAACGGCAAACAAAAAAGGCGAATTTAGGCTGTGTGCACACGAGGGTCGTTTTCAAGCGTTTTAATATCTTTTTTATCTTACTCTTATCTATTATAGTTTTGACGGCCCTTCCAAACGATCTAAGGGAAATATGCTTAATATATTTCTTCAACTTCTATTGTAAATTAACGGTATTTGAAAATGAAACCGCTTGAAAACGTTCTGTTGTGCACATAGGCTTAATAGCCAGTACAAACACACAATGAGAATACATTTTATACACTTCCCCCCCAAAAAAATAAGTAGATAACTTGTGAGTTGCGTAGCCAGTCTTACGATTTTTCCCGCTATGTAAATTTCATGTTATTATTATTATTCATGTCTTTAGAAATTTATTGTTTTCACAATCACTCAACAACAAAATATTAGCATAGCGGGACAAGTCGTCAGGCTGGCTACGCTACTGTAACTTGTGGCTGTATTATGAATTGAGCTTTAGTTGTGCTGAAGCCATAATTTGAATATACTATATTAAACGTTCGCAGTTATGAGACTTAAAATTTTTACTTCACATGTCTTGGATGATGTCCGATGATCAATATTCCTCGCATCTGTGATGATTTGCTATTGCAAAATATTGATTTCATAGAACTCGATCAATTAATCCGTCAAGTGTTTTGTGGTTGTTTTTCAAGTGTCTCAGGTGATTCGTGGGTCGTGCCTATACAACAGGAAAAAATACTAATGGAAACGACATGTCCATAATTATTATAAAATGCGTACGTTGCTGTAAACTCAGTTTTTTCTTTGACTTGAGCTTAGCATGGCAGTCTTTTATACACATATTGACTGAGACCTCGGGAAACAGTGTGGCGGTCTTGGGACAAAGACACACTGCTTCCCTTGGTCCGGTGCCAATTTTTGTTCTTGTATCTAAACAATTTCTACCTTGTTTGTCACTTCGAATCAATTTCTGCCTCAATTGTTTGTCACTAATTAAATCGTTCCTTACCTGATGCTGTTTGTTGAAATGTTACACATTCTTCTAACGCTAGTTTCACTGGCTGATTGTCTAATTCTCTCTCTAGCACCGACTTGAATATTTCCATTGCTTTTCTCAAGTGTCCAGTTTCTTTATAGGTGTATCCAACGACTGAACAAATGATGGGATAGAAAGGATAAGACATGAATTCCCTGGCATATTCTTCCATTTGAAGCACTGTCTCTTCAGCTTTCTTGTCTTCACCACTTTTAAAATATGCTAGGGCTAACTCATGAAAAACATTTATCTTCAATGGCAAAGATACTCCCCCTCTAGCTTCAATTTCTCGGGCGATGTGAACCCCAGACAGGGTTATGTCAACTTTGGAGGAGGAAATAATGCTCTCTTCCTTGACTGCAAGCACCTGCTCGAAGTTGAAAATGGCTTCATTCAAGCATTTTGTTCGAGAGAGGAATGAGGCAAATTGGGCCTGAACGAATGGTTCCATCTTTATACTATTATCCTTTAATTCCTGAAAACATTTATTTGCTTTTTCTATCCAACGTTTATAGGCCACCTCATCAATTTTGCCCTCTGTTTTTGCTTTGGTTTGATACAGGTCTGCCAGGGTTGCCATCAAACACTGGTCAATGTTGTTATTAGGACTCATACCTAGAGTATGCTCGTAGCAAGCTATTGCATCGTCAACTTTTTGTCGAGATACCATTATCTGTCCAAGTTGCTTAAAAAAGTTATGTGGTTCGGGAAACGCGTATTCATTTACAAGAGCTTTCTGTTCATCAAACGATTTGTCAAAAATCATTTTGTGTTGCTGCAGCAATTCAAGAAAATTTCTACGATAGCAACAAGGTTGTTCGCCTTTCATCAACATAGCATCGACGGCCAGACGCAGGATCGTTGACGATGATTAAGGCGAACTTTCCATTTTCTTGCACAAACACACCGTAAGATCATATTCACATAACTCATGGTACAATTTTGCCAAATTTAGTGCCGACAGGGGGAATTCTGAATCTTTGAATGATAACTCCGATGGTTTTTTAAGGAGAGACAGTAAATGTTTCTGGCAAGTGCTAATCAAATAGGGTAGGCACGATGTTGTGTAAATAACACTAGGAGGCAAACTTTTACCATCTGTCCACAATATATCAAGTGCTTTGGCTGCTTCTGATTTTTTTCCGAGTTGTACGTACACTCGAACTAGTGATGCGTACGCCAAGTTTCCCAGATTAACGAGCAGCTCCCCATGTGATTCTATGTACGTTTGAATCTCTGATCCATATAAAAAACGTTGTGAATATAAACAAATGACGTTTTTAGACCACAGAGTTCCACCCAAATTTTCCACTCGCTTTAGTACGGTAACGGCTTCTTCAAATCGACCCCTGTCATAAAGAAAGTTAGCATACATAATGTTTTTATGAATACTGTTCTTTGCATCCTCGTTCCCACTTTCAGACTTGTAGAATTCTTCGGCCAAACGTGATTCTTCATCAATGTCTTTCATTGGGTTTTTAAATACTTGAAGTCTGTGGACATTGGCAAGGTTCAACAGCATTTCTGCACGACCATTGGCTCTGTCGACAGGGTCTAAAACCATGTGTTCCGCAACAGACAAACCAGCTTTATAAGCAAGCGATGCTTTTTCGCTAAACCCAGTATCCAAGTAGTGATTACCCAAATTTCGGAAAAAGTTCAACAGTGGTAGTGGATTATCGTTTTGCTTGAGGAATTCATCCTTGCATAAGTCCAGGGTCTGTTGAAACGGACACCGCACTTTATCTTCAGAAGTGATCGATTTGATTTCGACAGCTGTATTCAGTAATGGGACGATTTCGTTCGGTGGGATAATTATCGTACCCACAATAGTTGGAACAAAATATTCTGCCAAAGAATTTATGACCTCAATTACAGCTTTCTCTACATCGCCTTTCATCTGTAGCATTCCTGCGAGACAGAAGAGCAGACGACGTTTTTTCGTGTTATTGTAGACATGGAGCATATCGGATTCAGATGTGTGGAATAAATGAGTGGTCATTTTCAAACGTTCGACCACACATTGAAGTTGAGCTTTTTGTTCCATTTTTGATTGCGAAAAGCACAAGAAAGCCGATGCTTTGAGTTGCGAGATTTCCAAAGCCAACAGGTTATCCTCCAATTTCCTCGTATCACTTGAGCTAACGCTTGAGGTAATTAAGTCAATAGCTCTTTGACATCTCTCCCAGCACTGTCTAAAGGTTTTGGGAGAAGTTAATACCGTGTCTTGCTCAAAAATTAATTTCGCAGCTAAATGAAGAAACTCCACATATAATCGAGATGATGCCAATTGTGGGTTCCCGGAATCAAGCAGTTCCATGCCTTGCTCGCATGCGCGTAATGCATTTTTCAAATCACTGCAAAGGACACAACTCTTTGCTAGTCCAAGCAAACTCTCTGCGTGTGCGACTAGATGGCCAAGCTCCGGAGTTAAAGTTAACGAACGATAAATTTCAACTGCTTTGTTGAAGCTCTCCTTAGCCATTCTATAACCTTGTAAAACCAATTGACATTCTCCAATCAATTTGAAAATTCTTGCCAAGTTTTCGGGCTCTTTCGCCTCTTTCCTTGAAGACAGCTCTAAGAAAAGAATCATCCGGTAAATATTCTGCTTATCTCTTGCGTTTTCCGCTTCTTGTATTAAAGACTGAAGACTAAAGCCCTCTCTAGACGATTGCGTTACCAAAGAAAGATCGGAGTTCTCCCTTATCTTAAGAATATGCTCCAAATAACTATGATTACCGTCTCGCAAAATAGATTCAGCTAACAATCAGGTGCTTTGATAATTTGCATCCTCGGAGTCTTGCTTGAAGTCTTTTTTCATTATGTTTTCCTCATTTTCGCACTTACCATCAACGGCTATCTGTTTGCTTATATCGTTCGATGATTCTGCATGCGAGAATCTTGAACTAGATGAAATTGGCAGATCTTTGTTGTCTGTTTTTGTTTTTTTCGGTTGACAGATTATGCGCTCTTGTGGGTTTTGGTTAACGTGCAAAAGGTCATTGTTTGCTTCAGATACTTCCTTTATTGACTTGCCGTAACTTTGCAACTGCTTCTTTTCAGAGTCCATGCTGAAGGACAGTATGGTAACACTTTCAGAAAATTTTCAAGTTCGACTTTCTTTGATGCTTCGGTCAAAATTATACTGGTCTCGTTGTTAAACAATGAATCTTCTCTAACGTTACAAAAGCAAAATATGCGAACTTCGATGGGTTTTGAAGTCACGACGCAAACATTAGCAAGATTACATTTGGTGAAGTTCGAAGTCTCGTTCCTGAAGCCTTGAGATTTTATTTCATTGCCCAATAGGTTGAGGTGCTTCATCGTAAAAGGCTTGTTTTGCCTCTGCTTAACTCTTACGTATTTCAAGAGCATATCTGTAAGATGACACTGTGACATACACAGATTTGCATGGCAGGGATCTTTACCTCCATTCGCCGTTGCGAAAATATTACTGGCAATTTGATTGAACTTCTGGGCTTTTTCGTATTCTCTTGAAAATGTACACAAACCAGCCAGATTCATTAAACAAATCGCCTTTTCTATGATATTGTTGGTCGGATTCTCTAACACTTCATCCCGATTAAAGAACTGGATAATTTTTTGTTTCACTTCTGCCAGCTTTTCCTGGTGTGGTTGATCGAATGAGAGATCAATTAACAACTGAAGTATTTGTTCACAGAATGGCTGAAATGGATCTGAATCGAAGCGTCTATTTTGAACTCAAATGTTAACATACGGTCAAAGTAGTTTAGGGCTTTTAACAGGTCGTCTCTTGCGGGACAAACCTGGGCTAGATGGTATAGTATGTGCCCCGCATGACGATTTCCCGGTCCAAAAGTTTCTTCACTTGTTTTCCAAGCTTCCAGTAATAGCTTTTCGCTTTCTTCTAAATCAATGAAATGATACTTATGTGCCAGATACACAAGTAAAATAACAGTTCTGCTGCTCACGTTACCAGTCGCTAAATGCAATCGTAGAACTTCACCGGCCCGATCATAGTGCTTTCGTTGGCTCAAGACAGATTTTTCTCCAGCGTTTTCTGAAGAACACGAGTTAGCCTCCTTAACCAAATCACCCAGCGTGACATGCAGGTCAAACTTGTATTGTGGTATTGCCTTTGGAATTTTGGCTGATTTCTCGCAAACTTCGAGTGCTTTATTGTAGTGCACCTGAGCTTGGTGATAATCTTTAAAATCTCTCCAAGTCTCGGCAATTTTCTTGAAGTATTCATATTTCGTATGGTTGTCAATCATGTTCGAAACATACTTCGAAGCTTCTTTCAGGTAACTGACCGATGGAGAAAACTTCTTATTTTTAGCCAATATCCTGGCGCAATCAAGGAGTATCGGTACAATTTGGAACTCGTTTGCATTTTGAGCTTGAAGACATTCTAAACTATCGCGTAAATGTTGTTCAGCCTCTTCCGTCAGACCTTGCTTCTCGCATAACATTCCAAGATATTCATGGTATTTTTGTTTAGATATCACTGGTGTGTCACGTGCTTGGTTTAGTAGTAGTCTGGCTTCGTCATATTTGCCCAACGTTATGTAGGTGTACGAAACCTGCTGGGTGATTCTTTCCTTTCCTCCTACGTCAACGATATTTTCGAGACATTCGTTTGCGGATAAGGCAAATTTCCACGCTTTATCATTTTTCTCCATCATGTGGTAAGTCCTTGCCATTCCACAGTATAACTCACAATCTTGTGTAGAATTTGCGCCTGTTTTACCGAATTTTAAAGAATTTTGGAAATAAATTATTGCTTTATCGTAGTCTTTTACCATGTGACAGAGCTTTGCCAATTGCCCATAGACATCTTTTCTCACAAAATCGAAGTGATCTCCTTTGTCTAATGAGGATAGTAGTTTAAGCAATCTTTCGAAATAGAATTCGGCTTCCTCGTGTAAGAATAAACGAGGACATATTTTACCAAGTAAAGCCAAAGTTACAAGAGCATGAGGGTTGGGATTATTCCCATAAATGTCTTTGCCCATTCGGAACGCTCAATTCAAACATTGGTAAGCTTCGCTTGTTTTCTCTTGATACATGAGCACTTCCCCAAGTTGGTTTAAATGAATCATCGCTTTTACGCTTATGCTTTCGTTCTTTAAAAACTCAGTTGCATGTTTCGTCATATAAGTAAAATTTCCATCTGCGTGATTACAGAACAAAATACGTTTTAATTTCGTCGTTAGCGTGTTTTCTTTGCAATCTGACTCCGAATCATCTGGTTTTGAACGCCTTACCTCTGTTGAACAAGCAAATTTGATCTTCACGTTTTGGCCCTCTGCGAACATTGAATCTTTTAATCGTTCCTTTATGTCAATATTTTCCGGATCAGCTTGAAGCGCACGCTTATAGCATTCTGAAGCTGCTTCGCAATTTAAGAGACGACGATGCATGTGCCCCTTGATGACAATTGCTATGGCACTGGCTACATTATCTCTTGCACTTTGGCTGATCACATTCATCTTGCACAACTGGTCTAAAATTTCAAAAGATCCATTCCCGTTGACACAAAATGATTTCGAAAGGCCTGCAACCACGCGATCTGTCGATCTGTAGATCTCTTTCTTTACATCATATAATTTTCCGCCGTAATCTTCAGAGAAGTCTACGATTTGTGTTCTATATCTAGAAATATTCTTTTCGAGAATGCTAAGTCCTCGACAAA